ATTTTTATTTAATTAATTTTATTTTTAATTTGTTTATTAATATATAAAAAAAACACAATTACACCAGCGTTTTCACACAAAAATTTTATAGAATTTTAAAAAGTCTCAAAGTTTTAGAGTTCTTTCATGTTACTTTAATTTAGTTTTTTCTCAAACACATGATGATTACTTGATGATCTTGTTTTTTTTTTCATTGTTTTTTTAATTATTATTTATTACTGCAAATGTTTTACTCACAGTTTTGAATGATTATTTTACTAATAATTTAGAGTTATTGTATCCAACCCACATCACTCACATTATCATCCTTGAAAAATGAATTTATTTTTCTATTATAATATTATGATATTTTTGTCTAATTTTCATAAGAACAAAAGCAACAACAATTGAATCTGAGAAAAAGAGGTCAGAACCAAGCAAAATAAAACAGGTCGCGACGAACGTAACAACCGTGAGAGTGCAGGGCCACAACTTTCTAATCACGGCCGCACTGCTTTGACCTCTACCGCACAACTGTTGTGAAATCGCCAACCACCACAAAAGCCGCTCCGACTAGAACCCGTATCGTTCACGTAACACTCTTGCCATCGCGTCATCACCACCAGTCCCGTCGCTGATTTGCAAAGAGTCTTGATATTTTTGTCAAAGATGAAAAAGTGTTGGAACATGGACCTTTCACGTGGAAAGAGAGCATTTTAGGTTTTGTGACATTTTTCTTTCTTGTTATTTCATTATTATTATTTTATTTATTAATATTTGTTAACCTTGATATTTAGATTCAATAAATTGTGTAAAACTTTGGAGTGGATTATAGACTCATAGTTGATTCATACATCCAGCTCTCTTTTGCACCCTCCCACGTTGATTCTTTCCCTAAGTTTTTTTAGGTTATTTAGCTTTGATTAATTTAATTTAAGTTTTTATTATTATTACTCTTAATTTTAATTAATTATTTAGGATTTTTAGTTAAGTCATTTCAATATTGATTTTAGCTTAATTACTAAATTAGAGAAAAACTTAAAAGAAAATCCTCTTAATTAGGTTGCAAATCAATTTTTGAAATCCATATTTAGGTTTTACTTAATTATTTTCATTATTGATTTAATTGTTTAATTTTGTGAGCATGTGACTTGAATTTTTCCTGTTTGAGTTTGATTTCGATCCTTGCCTTGGTTATGCCTCTGTTTGTTATCTTGTGTTCATTATCTTTCATTAAACACTTGTATCTTATGCCTTCTCTTTGTACGGTCTTATTTCATATTTAGTGTTTCCATGATTTGATCCTATGTTTTTGTATTAATAGCTTCTCCCTAGATCCAAGGGGAGAATTTGTGTCTGACTTTATAGTCATACGTATTACATTTTCATTTGCATAATTTTCCTCTTTAGTTGATCCCTGCTCCCCCTCAGGTCGATCAACTTAGGACATACATCCATATATCCTCAGGCTAGTTCCTTCAGAATTTCAACTTTAGACAACTTACAACTAAATCCCATTCTTCCACAAGAGAATTAAACACTAGTAATCTTTGTAGTCGAGATATAATTCTCCTACCCCATAACATAATCGAGAAAGATGTAGATTCTTTTCCGTTTGAGAGAGGTATGCGACATACTCGTCGATTCTATATCCGAGTTGGAGTTCTTCTCTCAATGCGAAGCAAAGACCGTCTTCAACATGTTTGTGGTGGTTTAAGTTGAGTACTCTCCTTAAGATGACAACTTGTCTCTTCTCCTAAAACCAATCAACCTTTTCTTTTTACACTTGTTTACCCTTAGTGAGGGGAACTACAAATGCTCTAATTCCATTCCCGTCAGGATACGTTGGCACGAGATGCGATGTCTTGACGGACATACTTAGGAATAACATCTTAGGTCTCCCTTTTATTTTCACCCTTTAGCAGACAAAATAATAAATAACACAATAAAACAATAGGTTCCTATACAGTACTACAAATACTTAGGATGTTATCACCTTCCCTAGGTATAACCAACCCCCGAACCTTAAATTCTCTTTTGCTTTGCATTACATTGCATATTTTGGGTTATTCGTTCTTTTTCCTTTCCCTTGGATAAATTAAAGACCGATGGTGAATACTAATTTGTGATTCAAATTAATTAATAATTTGATATCCGATTTTCACTGCAACATACCCCTATCGAGGAGAACTTATTCCTCTACCTAGCAGTATCCAATGAAGCCGTTATTGTCGTCCTCATATGAGAAATGAGCTCCATTGAAAACCTAGTATACTTCGTATCAAAATTGTTGCTATGGTTGGAAACACGCTATCAAAAGATAGAGAAAATCATATTAGCGTTAATAACGACCTTGAGAATTTTATGACATTACTTCGTAGTGCACACCTCCATTGTCCTAACTGACTTACCCCTTAAAACAATTCTCTATAGGCCAGATCTCGTATGACACATGACAAATTGGTCTTTTGAGATTTTTGAATTAGACATCTCCTTCGAGCCAAAAAAGGCACTAACAACTCAATATCTATAGACTTTATAGCATAAATGACATCAGTCACCCCGAAGATAAGTGCAACATGGAGCGCGTTCACAGGCTCAAGCCTAGTCAGATTTTCTTTTTAAATAGAAAAAGTCTAAATTTTTTAATAAGCCTATTTACTTAAAATTTTTAGACGTCAAGTCATAAAAGAAGCCTTTTAATCTTATCAGGTAGACTTATTTTAAAAATATCAATAATTTTATATTATTATTATTATTATTATTATTATTATTATTATTATTATTATTATTATTATTATTATTATTATTATTATTATTATTATTTTTGAACAGTTGTGTCTTTTCGGTTTCTATTATTAATCTCCTAGATAAGGAGTCATTTGACCTCAGTTTTAACATACAGAAAACAAAAACCATACTTTCTCTCTACATTCCTGATCTGTTTTCTATTGCCAGAAGCAGATTGTTCTTCAAGAATTATCCCCACAAAGATTTCGTGAACCCAGACAAATAATAGGGTCGAAATACTTTGTTCAGAAAGTGTACGAACACGATTTCTCAAAGTTATCCAAAATTATCATATTCAAATTTCTAACATGTAAGTTAAGGTATTTGAGAATATATTCATTTGTTATATTACATAGATTTTGCTCCTAAGAAACAAATCAAATTAAACTAAAAATTATAAATTCAATTCTCTACCTTAATGCACCTATAATTTTTTTTCTTCAAATAATTTATTAAGTTAATGATCTAAATTGTATAGTACTAATTGAGTTGATTTAACGGATCATTTATAATCTCTATTTAAATGTGTTTATTTTATCTCTAAATCAATTCAAATGCCATCACAAAAACCCAATGAACATACATTTAAGTAGAATAATCCTTGCAATTACTACAATGTTACAAATATTACAATCATTGATGTAAAACAAATATCCGACAAACATAATTGCCAGGATCGCATTAAAACATCAAAAATTATCCTTACATGAACAATAATTCCAAATTTTCAAATCACTGTAACAACAGACCATATCCTTGATTATCCTCTATCCCAAACCATATTAAACATATATTGTCCTCATCATTTTCTCACCTCAGTCATCCATAATTTCTCATCATCATCATTCATCACAATTCAACATCAAACCAATTCCTACTTCCTTAATTTGGATCCAATTTTAAAGACAATAATATCAAGGGATACAAAATACATATATACCATCCTTCCAATATTTGCTTACACTCTACTACAATCACTGTGACAAAATACATATATACCTTTCTTTCAATATTTGCTTACACTCTACTACAATCACTGTGACAAAACGAGTCTAATAAGTCAAAATTCATTTTTCTTATCTAAATTATTTTTGTGAAGTAAATCAGAGTTTTAAATGTACTCCTTTTAATATGTCAGACATATTTTTTTCGTGCATTTATAAAAACATACATTAACAAATTTTAGCCTTTAAAAAAAATGTAAGTCTCTCCCGTTTTTAAGGAAGAATTCTTTTAAACCCTAGACTATATCAATCTCATTTTTTTTACAGATTTTTACAGAAAAATTTAAATTAGTCGGACATACCCGTTAGCGACGGATTTAGATCCACTCCATTTTTTTGTCTTTTCATTATTATAATTTTATGTGTAAATAATACACATTTTTAAGATATATGACATATAATTTATATTTAATTAATTTTATATAAAAAAACTATAGTTATAAAAAAAATAGAGGACCAAAAAATGGAGTTGATCCCCACCCGTTAGACGTACGGATACATTCTACTTCCATGAAGTTGGTAGTGTGGCATTGTAGTAATTAAAACAAAAAACATGGTGAAATGATTACCATGACGTCATGAAGATAACAACTCCCACTACCTCATGGTCACCACCACTGGCCCCTTTTCTTCACCTCCTCCTCTCTTCCACAACCCGACAAAACCAATTCTCAGTGGCTCCCTTTGTAATATTCCACCAAAACCCCTCCTTTTTCTCATCTCTCTCTTCTTCATAACACTCCCATTTATTTTCACATCAACCCTCATTGAAACAAAAAAAAAAACACAACACAACACAAGCAAAAACATACACCGAGCAAAAACACATACTATAATGGAGAAGATGATGATTCCTCTTTACAAGCTTGAATCTCGTGGGATAGTGTAGTTTCTTCTAAAGTGTTCATCTTTCTTGTTCTTTTGTTCTTTTATCTCTCACTTTCTCTCTCTACTTTTTTTTTCCACTCTCTTTCTCACTCTACCGGAGGATGGACTTCCGGTGCCGAACACTGACCATAGTTAACTTAGATCCGGAGAGAAAACGAAGTGGTGGGTTGAGGACAAAACAAGCAGGGAGAGGATCGTGCCGTGGTAGTTAGAGTCTAGTAGATGTGAAAAAAAATGCGTATTGTTTGGTTTTAAGGCTTACCCTTTTCTTCATTCTTGCTTTGAATGCTGCTTTGGTTCTATTGATTCGAAAAAAAATTGAACTTTTGTGTGGAAAAAATGGGGTTTTTGTTGAAAGAAGCTTTGAAGACTCTTTGTGCTAGGAATCAGTGGTCTTATGCTGTTTTCTGGAAGATCGGTTGCAATAATTCCAAGTAAGTTGTTTTGATGAAATAAGTGATTCTGTTTTTGCTTATTAATTAAGTGGAAAAAGAAAAAGTTTTGGTTAGAGATTGATTTGGTGTGGATTCTCATGTTAAATTCTTGTTTTTAGATTTAGATTCCTTTTCTAGGGTTGGTTCATTTTCAAGATAAAATCCACATGTTTGTTCCTGTTTTGGAACTTTATAGTTTAACCCCTTTTCATGTCCATAAGCTGTTTGTTTAGCTTATTTATATAAATTTTCCAGGATAGCTTATGAAAACAACTTGTAGCTTATATGGAACTACTTTTACTTTATTTTAATTTGTCATAGAACTAACTTACGTGTAAGTAGTTGTATGATAAACTATGCTATAAATGCTTAATTAAGTAGTTTATCCAAACAAGGCTTACTTGTCTTTGAGTAAACTAAGTTTGTTTGATTTTGTAGGCTGTTAATCTGGGAAGATTGCTACTACGAACCATTGCCATCTCGTGTCCTTCCACAAATTGCTGGAACGTCTAACTTGCCTTACCGAGATAGGGAAGGATGCTGGTTTTCTTCCGATTCTCAGCTACGGATTCAAGAGGACGACAGAGTTTGTTCATTGATTAACAAGATGATGGTGAATAATTCTGTTAATGTTGCTGGTCAAGGGTTGGTGCTTTCTTTGTATTTTTATCATTTATCGAGATTCAGGTTTATAGTTTTGTATGTTTTTTTGTGTCATTGCCATCTCACTCAAGTGCGGCTTTTTGCTGTTATGCAGGATACTTCAACGTGTGGCATTCACAGGAAATCATCAGTGGATTGTTTTGAACAATTTCATTAAAGATGCATATCCACCAGAGGTGCGGAGTTTTGATGATCTACTTCGAGTGTTTATTTCTGAAGTTTCGATCAACTTATAAACTTCATTCTCATTTCTCTCTATTTGTTCTTTTTTAGGTATTAACCGAGTTGCATTGCCAATTTTCAGTCGGAATGCAGGTTTGTGTTTTTAATTATGCGTCAAATTTTGCTATACTTTTTTAATTACTTTTCCTAATCCATTGCTGTATTTTCGTTTGCAGACAGTGGTGGTTATTCCCGTGATTCCCCATGGTGTTGTTCAACTCGGTTCTTTTTTACCGGTTAGTTGTTTTTAATTGTTTGTATTTAATAATTCATGTTAGAGAAATTACTGAATTTCTCTAATAATTGTTGTTAGATAATGGAGAATATTGGATTTGTGAATGATGTGAAGAACTTGATCTTTCAATTGGGACATGTTCCTGGTGCACTTCTATCCGAAGACTATTCAACAAGACTTTCTAATGAAAGACATGCCGGACCTGTGACTAATTTTAAGCCGTTTTCTTTCGATCCACAAGTCATTACCTCAAACTGCACTCCCTCGGTAGCTAGCGGTTCTAACCAACCGAGTAATTCACTGCATGGTCCAATGCATGTTGCTGCTCAACCCCCTTCTTTTCCCAACGGTTCTGTATTGACACCCCAATCCCAAAACCTAAACCAGATATTAGAAAGCCTTTGCCAACCGAAGGCTCAACGAGAGAATACATCTGTGAAAGCTGAAGCTGAAGTGATATCGACAAATTTCGATTCTTCATGTCTGCAACAACGTTCCTTTTCATATAATGCAAGGTCTGCACTCAATATGGAACAACAAATCTTCTCTGATATCAGGACGCAAAGTCATGGTAACCGAAATATGAATCCATCGTCAAGTGCCTTAAATATGTCTCGACGGCAAACCGATGGAGGCCAAATTTATTATCAGAATTCTAACAACACTTCACTTCTTGGAGGAATCCCAATATGTAGTAGTAGTGGGATGAGTAATAATAATCTTCGAAGGAAAAATATGAATAATTGCTCGGTTTCAAATCCCCCAAAGTTATCCGCTACTGATTTTTCCGGAAAACAAAAAGTAGGGTTCGGAATTCAAAATGATAATTCAACTACAGCTGTCAATCAGATTCATCCAAAAGGCTCTGATCAGAAGAATCTTCCCACGGATGGAAGGATAGATGATTTGCTTCAGGCTCTTAAGATTCCGTCATCTCATCATCTTAACGAGCATGTGCCAATGAACGATCACATCCCTGGTTTTCTTCATGATTTGGAACTTGAAGAAGTGTGTACGCAACTTTCATCGGGTGATGACGACTTGTTTGATGTCTTGGGCGTGGATTTCAAAAGGAATCTGCTGAACGGAAACTGGAATACATTGTTTGCCGATGAATCAGATGCCAATGCAGAAAATCTTGATAAAAAGGCAATGTCTACTAATTTTCTGGTTGTAGGTCATGATAATAGTTATCCGGTTAATGAAGCAATTTTAGACAACGGCATCTTCTCTGGAACGAACACTGGCCATCTCTTAGATGCTGTCGTCTCAAAAACTCAACCTGCTTCAAATGAGAATTCCGATGAAATGTCTTGCAGGACCACAATAACAAGAATTAGTACCGCGTCTGTTCCTTCTACCGGCATTCAGATTATCCACGATCATGTTGGCCAGGGGTTGCTGTATGATTTTCCCAAAACCGAGATTAAAACAAGTGCAGCGGAAACAAGTTCTCTTAGGTCTGGTTGCAGCAAAGATAATGTTGGAAACTGTTCTCAAACCACTTCCGTATACGGTTCTCAACTTAGTTCATGGGTGGAAAACGGTAGCAGCAGCCACGTGAAACGTGAAAATAGTGTTTCAACTGGATACTCTAAGAGACCAGATGAAGTTAGCAAACCAAATCGTAAAAGGCTTAAACCTGGAGAGAACCCTAGGCCTCGACCTAAAGATCGCCAAATGATTCAAGATCGCGTGAAAGAGTTGCGCGAAATCGTGCCTAACGGAGCAAAAGTATATTACTCTTCTCGTGCTATTGTTTTTATCTCATTCCACATTTTCTTAATTAAATAGTGCTAATCTTTTTATCTCATTCCACATTTTCTTAATTAAATAATGTCATAATCGTGCTGAATTTATTTTTTGTTTGTCTCTTGCAATGATAATGATTCAACAGTGTAGCATCGATGCTCTTCTGGAGAGGACCATCAAACATATGATTTTCTTGCAAAGTGTAACAAAGCATGCTGATAAGCTGAAACAGACAGGAGAATCCAAGGTAAAGGCATTATCTGTCACATTTTCCTTGTTTGTTAGAAAACTTATCTTATTGAAGGTTTTCACTCTCATTGGTATTTGTTGGTATTTTTTTAAAATTTTTTTTAATGTGCAGATTCTTAGTAAAGAAGGTGGGTTGTTATTAAAAGACAACTTTGAGGGAGGGGCTACATGGGCGTACGAGGTTGGTTCACAATCAATGGTTTGCCCTATCATAGTCGAGGATCTTAATCATCCCCATCAGATGCTCGTTGAGGTAGTAACCAACCAAAAATTATAACATTCTTTTGCTTCCCCTAACATGCTATGTAGCATTGACAGCTTTGAAAAAAAGTGCCTGTGTCAGCCGATGCCGATACGACACCAACATTTGTGATTACTTAAAATTTATTCATTTTTTCAAATTATTACTGGTGTTGGCATGTCAGTGTTGGTGTCATGTCCGGTATCCGTGTCAGTGTATGTGTCCTAGCTTCATAGCTAACATGTTTTATATGTTACCTCTTTTAAACCTGCTTGCTTTGTTATTATTACAGATGCTTTGTGAGGAACGAGGTCTCTTTCTTGAAATAGCCGATTTAATCAAAGGATTAGGGTTAACTATCCTGAAGGGTGTCATGGAAGCTCGCAACGACAAGATTTGGGCACGCTTTTCTGTCGAGGTATTAAACTGATAGTTAATTGCAAAATGCTTCATCCGATCCTGGCAGTGACAAATGTTCATATCCGTTCTTTGTCCGGCTTTCACAATACATTCATCACTTTTAATTTTTGCAGGCAAACAGGGATGTAACAAGGATGGAAATATTCATGTCACTGGTTCGACTTTTGGAGCAAACAGCGAAAGGAGGTGCATCTTCATCAAATGCTGCAGTTGATAAAAACATGATGGTTTATCATTCGATCCCGCAATCCACCTAGTTAAATGCACATGATTGACATCAAATCTTGTCGTATATTAGATTTCAGGTGATATTAACTTTCTCTAACCGCACCGTAGTAAGGAATGTGTTTAGTTAGTAAAGTGCATCTCAAAATATTAGTATGCATTGGTATAGAACATATGTAAGAATGTTGGTTTCTTTTTAGTCAACTTGCATTTCTTTCTCTTTCTTTCATGTAATTTCATTGGCGTGTTAGTTAGTGTTATGATTCATATGTATAGATGTTTTAGGTTTTGGACAGGAGGTTAAGGTGTTAACCACCAGCCTATGCAGTTATTCTTGTTTTTGACCTTTTTTCTCTTGGAGTAGTGATCTATGATGTGTTATAAATACTAATGTTATTAATATCAGCTTTGTGTGGTTTGTATTTGTGTTATTTAATGCTAAAACTAAAGTAATATGCATTTGATATTATATACTGTGTTTGCTGCTAATTTGCTCTATACCTGCCTGGCCCGTTTATGCTATGAAACACTAATACAAACATGACACTGACATATGTAGATTCTGAAAATAGTTTGAGAATGTAAAAGTGACAGAATACTGAGAAACCATTTACTGAAGGAAAAAGGGTAGGACCCTATACACCAGAGAAGATATCTGAAAGACCATTGCTAGACAAAGTAGACTTGTGACTCTTGGAAACTAAACAAACAGAAAATGCTTCAAATACTATAAACTTATTTAAATACTGATTTTTTTAAAAGGAAATTTTATAAATAACCAACCAAACACAAGTTTGTCCTACTTTGTTTACATGTTGTTCTGGGTTGTCTACAAGAAGTCCAATGGTGGTGAACGCGTGAGTGTCGAGTATTTGCAACTACAAATTCAATTGGGTTTTTGAATGATGTCAAACAAGAAATAGACGAGGTAGTTTATTATAGTGCTCTTGTATATTGGACGATGTCAACTTAAATTTAGATGTTCATTTGTTCCCTTAGCTTTAGGATGCATAAAAAGAGTTTTTGAAATAAGTTTGATAGGTCTTAGGCATGTCATACACATCAAAAATCAAGTTTGTGTGTCAAAACAACAACATAGGGCGACCTATGCAAGAACATGCCGACCTATACGAGCCTCAACTTTAGTATAGGTTGGCACATGGACTTTTTAGGCTGGCTCTTATGGACCAGTATTGAAGCCTGTAGGTTCTTCCCACATGTTGCATCACGGGCTTCTAGATAGGCTGACTTATGACATACACAGACCAATCTATTACTTTCACAGTCCGACCTATTGTTTTCATAGGCCGACCTATATGTTTCTCCCATCCAAAATTTTAGTTTTGCTCAAACTTTTTACATTCCTTTTGCCCATTTATTCATATACCCATATATACTCATACATGCATCTTCTTCTAGGTAAGGTTTCCTAGAGAATAAAACCTAAACGAAACCAGATTACAAAGTTGTCCATCATTTCCATCCATTGTTTTATGCACACATAATTGAACTACACAATCATTTTTCGATTGGTTGACCATCTAGATTAAGGTTCATAACATCCAATTATGTTTGGTGTAACCGAGATTATTGGGTTGGGGGATTTGTGTGTTTCAAATAAAAAAATCAAGGTGGAGCTTTCGTTCAAGAACGGGTTGATTAGAAGGTTTTGGACGAGATCACGTCAACATAGATTCAACCGAGTGAAAGCTTTAGGACAAGGTGGTTTTCTTGCAAGGTAGTTTCACAAGACGGTGAATTGTGTTCGGTAATCTCGGGTTTCAATAAGTTGCGTGTTCGGGATAATCAGAGGATTGTAGCCGCGTTGTTGGTCACTTGATCAAGCTTTGGTCAAGGGTTGAAGGTGGAAGAATCAACACAAAACAATAGGATTTTTGGGGTTTGCATTCTTCATCTCTTGTATAAACATTTTTGCAAAGAAAATGTTAATAGCACTATCTCAATTCAATTTTGAATTGAGGGCAGACGTATCCATAGCGAGACCGATTGGGGAACTGCCTAAACAAATCTTGATCTCTTTTTTAAAAATCTTTTTATCTCTTTTATTGTTGATTATGCAATTTATCGAGTTCGTTGTTGTTTGATCAATTCGATTGAAAGTTGCTTTTTAATATCTTTTAAAGGTGTTGTTGATACAATCACAATCAAAGTGATTGTGATAGGTTTTAACGTTGACAAAATAAACTACAATTTCAATTGTTATCGATCGTACATCAAGTGTTCGATAAATTGTTTGTGTGTATTTTATTTGTGTTTTGGTTCATTGGATATACAAATTACGATTAGGATTATATTTAATTGATTCGTAGCTTGATCACTGTTGAACATTTACATTCGTTATCACTCTGTTTGGTTTGTGTTGCGTATATTGCTTTTCGATAGTAGGTTTGGTTAGACGATTCGATCCGGGTTGTTTTTTGCTGCAGCTTATTTTAAAAATAGAATTTTGTCAAAAGATTTTGGTTGTAACATTTGTGATCTATTCACCCACTCTAGATCGAAGCCCATAGTATAACAAGTGGCATCAAAAGCTTTGGTTTATTCTGTGCTTGAGATACATTTCTTAGAAGAATGACTACCGAACCTAAGGGTGCGTACAATAGAGCACCAATTATCATCGACAAAAATTATGGCTATTGGAAAACACTTATGGGTATTCATGTAAACTCCGTTGACAAAGGTATTTGAGATGCTATCCAAAATGGTCCAAATGAAAAATAACTATGACCAATGAAGATGGTGTCACAATACCTAAATTGGAAGCACAATGGATGATAACGATAGGAAATAATGGTCACATGATTGGAAAGCGAAAAACATTCTCACTTCCACATTGGGAGTTGATGAGTTTTATCACGTTTCTCATTGCGAGACCGCCAAAACTATGTGAGACGCATTAGAGATTGCCAATGAGGGCACTAATGATGTCAAACAAGCTAGGATCAACACATTGAATCAAGAGTTTGAGTTGTTCCGTATTGAGCATGGTGAAACCATTGCAGATATGCGAAAACAATTCACTAATCTTATAAATTGATTAAACGCACTAGGTAATCCTGTTTCCAATGAACTTGCTACTTACAAAGTTTTGAGGTGTTTAAGAAGGTAATGACAACCAAAGGTCACCACTATTAAAGAAGCAAATGATCTTAAATCGCTTGGTAAGTTGGAAGAGCATGAGCAAGAGCTTACTTGCTTGGTAAAATACGAGAAGGTGTTAGTTCCATGGTTCTATGATTGTCCACGGTTCTATGATTGGCTAAATTTTGGTAAAACATGATCCTACACTGATGTTAAGCAGGATATTATAACATCTCCATCTGCTATGGTGACATAACTGTTGTGGAGTGTTTTAATGAGAATGTCATGCTGAATGTCGTGACATCCATCTGCTGTCATGGCATAATTGCTGTCATGTGTTGTTAATCACAATGTCATGACCAATGTCATGACATCGCTGTCTAATACAGCAGGAGCTGTGGTAACAAAACTACTGTCATGTGTTGTAAACAGGATGTCGTTACCAATATCATGACATCTGAAGCATCAGGAGCTAACAAGAGCAGATGACAGAACTGCTGTCATGGATGTCATTACCAATATCATGACATCACTGTCTGGTGCAGCAGGAGCTGATGATAGAATTGCTGTCATGGATGTCATACTCAATGTCATGACATCAATGTCTGGTACAGCAGGGGCTGCTATGCTATATCTCTTGACAAAAGTGTTTTGGTCCTGTTGGATATTCCTCATCAGTATGTACATGCCAAAGTGATTCATTAGGAACAAAGTGCAGATTTAATTGGTGTTCATAAAAAGGATCTTGGAGACTTTTTAGGAAACTATAATATGCTTGTTTCTACTGTTGTGAAGAAGATTTTGCATAAGTGCTCAGCAGGAGGAGTCTAGTCAGCTAAGAGTAAGTGAAGCTGAATGTCATAACTGAATGTTATGACATTGGTCGTATGACATCAGGCGTACAAAGTTTGTTTTTCTGTTATGATACCTGATATATCTCAGGCTAAATTTCAGGAAACCTGTTATGGCTTCTTAGTTATCTCAGGCGAGATTCTAGTCAGGGTTGGACATAACATGAAGCTGCTGTGACCTAATTTGACAGCACCTTGAATTATGGAAAGTGGTTCAACCAAGTTTAACGTAAAGTTTGTTACTTGTGACCAACCCAAGCCCAGTTTGCATTGCTATAAAAGGAGGAGCAGAAGCAGAAGAAATTAAGTACTCACATCAAGAACAACTTGAGTGTAAAATAAAGGTCTAGGGTTTGAGAGTCCCTTGTGTGTGTAAGTCACCCTTTGTATCGTATGATGCATTGTGGTAGACATATTTGTGAGTGAAGAACTTTGTTCTTCACGTGTGTCTAGGAGTCTTAGGATTCCTTGTGTGCCAAGCCATTGTAGGTTGTATGATTGCTCTGATTTATTGTGTATGAACAGGTGTGTTAATTGTGCCACTCCAAGTTGTTAAGCAAGAGTGTGTGTCACTTGATCAAAGCTGTGAATCAAGGTCAAGGTGTGTTTTTGGAGTGTATCTCCATAATTGTTTTGTAATTGTGAATTGTATATCACTGCTGTGATTGAGGGGGAGTGAGTGGGTATACTCAGGTCTAGAGTGTCTCTAGGAAGAAGTGTCATTGGGTATGTTTTAAGTGAGGAGTGCAAACTGGGTTGTTTGACTCTGAATTAATTCTGCTAATAGTGAATTTCCTCCCTGGCTTGGTAGCCCCCAAATGTAGGTGATGTTGCACCGAACTGGGTTAACAATTACTGTGTTATTTATCTTTTTGTATTTACAATTCTGCATAATTTAAATGGTTAGATAAATAGGTCTGTCAGCCTGCTGATGTTACAACAGACGTCATGATGTTGGTCATGACATTGGAACAATTTAAAGAAATTTAAATTGGTCATGGTCTGTCCTCGTCCTTGTTGAGCAGAGATCAATGTTCTTGGGACATATGAGATCTGCATACCAAAATTTCAATTGGTAT